AAATGGAGCATGTAGCATCTAGCGCATCTGTATTATGTGCTGCAAGATTTTGCCTTATGACTTACAAAGTCCGTCTGCTGGTGTTATAGAGAACACCTTGAAGGAGAAATATCATGTTGGGGAGAAAGAAGCCAAGTTACTCAAGTTTTCTGGAAAGTAAAATTAATTAAAATCCGTGATGGGGAAGGGACAGTGGGAAGGAAAACAACGGGAGAATGAGATGGATGTTATTCCAAGAGGATTGTGAAGGCAAGGAGCATAAAAGTTATGAGGTGTAGAAATTGTGTCACCAAGGTAGGAAGAAACCTGTAATAAAAAAAAAAAAGTGGAGTCCAGATGACCTGACTGAAAAATGTTTGATTGTATACCTGGACTATTGAGCATAGACTTTGTTGTTTTCATCCAGTTTGACACAACTGTCAACAAGGAAGAGGGCCGGCAATGGAGGAGGGGGCGTGCCAAAGACACCATCTTATCACAAGCAGAACTGGTTTGTTCCACTTTGGAGTAAGCTGTTGGAGGAAGAATCAGTTTTGTTGTGTGTTTCCTTGACTGATGAAGCCTTCTGGATCGAAGGCGAAACGTTTCAGCACAAAAAAATGAACTGTCCAGATGACCTGACTGAAAAATGTTGGAAGTGGATTGTTAGTTCAGGTTATGTTCCATGGGGGATATATTTGGGTGTGACACAAGCTGAGAATGGGATAGGGAGATGCACATGTTATGTAGTTCTATACTGCTACAATAAAGTTTATAGTAAGCAACAATACTGCTTTAACCGTCCATTCTGTATAGTTGGATGAAGACAGAACAGAATGAAACATGGTGGCAGCGGTCGTGAAGTCAGCAAAAGTAAGTTTGTGCCGAGTCACGAAGAGCTAAAAGTGCTGCTAACTTGTTGTTAGCCTAGCCCTGGAGTTGGAGCAGCTGGCCATTGTGGAGAAGACAGGTGGAGCAGACAAGAACAACAGAAATCACAATGGAGGGTCTCAGGCCACCGCCTACACTTTGTTTGGATTCAGCCAACTTAGTAAAGACCTGGAAAAGTTGGAAAGAGGAGTTTACACTATATATAGACCTCACTATGCCGGACGCAGAGGAAACAACTAAAGTGAAGTTGTTCAGCTACCTTCTTGGAGAGAGGGGGGGAGAACTTTTGACAACGCTGATGAGCGGTACTACAGCTGCGAGGGGAACAGTGAGTTCAATGATGACACTGTTTAATAATCATTGCAATCCGAAGCTGAATGAGACTGTCGAGCGTCACAAGTTTTTTGTTAGAGACCAAGGACGGGGTGAAAATATTGACAGATATGTTATGGATTTAAGAGTATTGGCCAGCACCTGCAATTTTGACGACATTAAGGATTCACTAATAAGGGACCGCATTGTTTGTGGGACAAATAGCTCTGCAATGAGGGAAAGACTGTTAAGAGAAGAAAACTTGAGATGTTTTCTAATGAGGTGCAGACAAAGAGACATTAAACTCAATGCAGACAAGTTTAAGCTGAGGAGAGAGTCTGTACCCTACATTGGACACTTATTAACGGCAGAAGGCCTTCGAATTGACCCAGAGAAAGTACGGGCAGTCCGTGAGCTGCTGAGGCCCACAGATGTTAAGGCTGTACAGAGGCTTGTAGGTGTGCTAAACTACCTTTCAAAGTTTTGTGATCATCTTTCTAAAGACTGTGAAGTTTTGAGACAACTTACACACAAAGAGAACATGTGGGAATGCACAGAGGTGCACGAGACAGCTTTAGAAAGGCTGAAAGATAAAATAACAAATGCACCACTACTCAAGTACTGTGATCAAAATGAGGAGCTAACCCTGCAATGTGATGCTTCAGAGACAGGACCAGGAGCAGCTTTGACACAGAAAGGGAAACCTGTAGCATTTGCAAGCAGAGCACTGACTCCCACAGAAAGGGGTTATGCCCAGATAGAAAAGGAATGTTTGGCCATAGTGTTCGGGACAGAAAAGTTCCACCAGTATACTTATGGTAGAAAAGTGACTGTACAGAGTGACCATAAGCCACTGGAAAATATTGTGAGAAAACCACTGCTTAGTGCACCAAAGAGATTACAGAGAAAGTTACTGAGGCTGCAGAAATATGATTTTAATGTGATCTATGTGCCTGGTCGAGACGTGCTTTTAGCTGACACACTAAGGGTGCATTCACACCAGCCCTGTTTAGTCCGCTTTAATCGAACTCTAGCTCGTTTTCCTAGAAAGTCCGTTTCATTTGGGGAGGTGTGAACGCGCCATCGAACTCTGTCACGGAACAAAAAGGCTAACTCTGGCCTGGGCTAAAACCTAGGTCTCGGTCCGGTAGAAGAGAACTCCAGCGCGGTTCCAGTACAGTATGAATTTAATCAGACCGGGCCCCGCTCCACAAGCAGGAAGTGGAGTACAGCACAGGGCAAACAAACACACATTTCTCTGACCTTATATGGAGCCGTCAGCTGTCTTGTGTGGAAAATAATATTCTCCATGGTCTTCTGTCTCATCTTCTGCTCATGCTAAGTCCATTGTTGAAAAATGACAAAATATAACTCCTAAAACTGATAAAACTTGATGCCACTCCGTTTTTGTTGTTAGTTCCAGAAGAAGAAGAAGAAGTGTCTTCAGAGGTTTTTGTGTCGTTTCTTTCAGTAGTTCTTGGTGCAGCGCCCCCACAGGCGAGCGGGGGAACAGGTTGGTTCAACAGGTTGGCTCCACTGCACAGTGCAGTGTGAATGCAAACTCACCAGCTCAAATGTAACAAAATGTTATGAATATTGGTCCCCAACCGAACCGAGTCTACCGGACTATCAGGTGTGAATACACCCTAAGCAGAGCTTATTTACCTGATAGCAGTCAGGGGGTCACAGAGTCTGAGACAGAGACTGTTAACATGATTTCCTACCTGCCCATCTCTTCAGAAAGACTGACAGCCATCCGTTATGCAACAACAGAGGACTCAAAGCTGCAGGAAGTGATTAAGTTAATCCTGACCGGATGGCCAAAGTACAAAAAAGATGTTGAGCCACACATTCAACACTATTTCGCTTTTCAGGACGAGCTGAGCTTTCAGGATGGAAAAGTGTTCAAGGGGGAAAGAGCAGTAGTTCCTGATGCACTAAGAGCGGACCTAACCCGTCGTATATACATCACTCTTGGGAGTGGAGGGTTGCCTCAGACGAGCACGTGAGTGTGTGTACTGGCCAGGGATGAATGAGCAGATAAAGACATTTATCTCCAAATGTGATATCTGCAGGTCAGTGGACCCCAAACAACAAAAAGAGACTTTACATCCACACGACACTGTCTACAGGCCTTGGGCCAAGGTAGGAACAGATCTGTTTTCATGGCACAATAAGGACTACCTGATTACTGTGGACTATTATTCAAATTTTTTGGGAAGTTGATTTTCTACCAGACACCAAAAGTACCACAGTGATCCACAAACTGAAAGCACACTTTGCTCGTCAGGGGATTCCAGATATGCTCATCTTAGATAACGGACCTCAATACTCATCACATGAGTTTAAAAAGTTCTGCCAAAAGTGGGAATTCCTATTGGACCATCGCAACACACCGAGCCAAGGTCTCACCTCAAGTCCAGCACAGAGACTTCTCAGTAGGAGGACCCGGACCCTTCTTCCTACAAAAGAGACACCGTTGGAGCCTAAGGTGTCAAACAACAAACAGAGACTAATTAACAACCGACAAAGACAGGAGAAATACAACAACCGCACAACAAGAGATTTAGACTGGATTGGAGCAGGGGACAGTGTTCGAGTTCAACCATTTGAGCCTTATGAAACCTGGAAAACGGCTAAAGTGATTAGACCAGTGAGTCCCAGATCTTATGAGGTGGAGCTGGAGTCGGTTGGTGTCCTAAGAAGAGATCGTCGCCATCTCAGGCACAACTATTGCCCAACCTCAACATTAGAACACCCAGGGACAAACACACAAACTGTGGTAGCTGATGAACGTGGTCATCACAGTGGTGACCAAGACACCATTACTACAAGGTCTGGTCGTCAGGTTAAGAAACCGGCCTATTTGAAGGACTATACTACATAATATTATCACATTACATGTTTAACCACTTTCTATGTTTGTGGTTATTGTTGCATTAGAAAAAAAGAAAAGGTTTGAAAGTAAAGGGAGCTATTCATTCAATAAATTAGTTTTGTAAGGAATGTATTATCAAAAGATAATTTTACAGAATATGCACTTGAGGTTAAATACCTAGGAAGATATAATTGCTTTTTTAGTTTGCCAATATAATTACATGCATTATTTGGAAGTGTCTATGTTTAAATCCGATTGCTCTGTCAAATATGTTTATTTTGTTTATAAAGAAAATGTTTAATTTTTGGGGGAAAAAGAGAAAGGATGTAACAAGTGGATTGTTAGTTCAGGTTATGTTCCCAGGGGGATATATTTGGGTGTGACACAGGCTGAGAAAGGGCTAGGCACTTGTTATGTAGTTCTATACTGCTACAATAAAGTTTATAGTAAGCAACAATACTGCTTTAACCTTCCATTCTGTATAGTTGGATGAAGACAGAACAGAATGAAACATCGGCCAAAATCAGAAACGGCAGGTCAGACTTTTTAGAAATCGGTGATCAGCCAGAAAACTGCAATCGGTGCACCCCTAGTGTCAAATGAACATCCAAGACAGCTTGCATTGCATCACCTCCTTGGTGATGAAAGGAAATTGATGTTTGAAATTTTTAATCATTTGCTACTGCCAGAAAGCTACAGTTGTACTTCCTGGTTGTAGAACATTTCTTCAATTCCAAGGTTTTACATATCCTGACATGACCTAGTCTGATGTTAGTCTTTACCAGGTTCTAAATGTACTCCAATCTATCATCAAATCTTATACAGTCATTATTTATTAAACAATATTAAAAATGGTCCCAGCTCCTGACCCAGAAGCAGAAGTCGGTGTTTTCTGAAATACTTTATCAGGCTCTCACATGGTTGTAGAGGAATTTTGGCCCACTCTTCTTTCCACCGTTGAGCTTGCTGCTCAGTTCTCTGAAGGTCCACCACAGCATTTCAGTCGAGTTGAGGTTGTGGACTTTAACTGCACCATTGCAGCACATTGGTTCTTATCTTGACCCGTTCTGTTGTAGATCAGCTGCTTTGTTTGGGCTTCAGTTGTCAGATGAACTTGCATCTGACTCCAGAACCATTTGTTCTACAGAGAACTTCCTGGTCCATTCAGTGACTGAAGGAGCCCAAACCATCAGCCCTCCACCACCGTGCTGACAGCTGGTTTGAGGTCTGTCTTATGCCGTTTGCTGCTACTGTTTATGGGTAAACATCTGACTTCGGTCTCTTGTTCCAAAGATCTTTCAGATGAAACGTTAAAAAATAATATGGCAGCTTGACTTAGGTTTTTAAAGAGGAGGTTCTCTCCTGCAGCTCTTCCAGAAAAGCTGTTCAGTTTGTTTTGAATTGTCCTGTCCTGACCTTTGACCTTTACCTTGCTAACTGAGGCCTGTAGACTCTGAGATGGAGCTCATTTCTCTGAGCATTGCTTGGTCTGACCTTCAGGGTGAAGCTGGTGGAACGTTCACTCCTGGAAAGATTATTAGTTGTCTTAAATGTTTTCCACTTGTGGTTAATTTTTTCTCTGTGGAACAATAAACTCCAACTAATTTAGTAATGACCTTTGACCCTTCCCAGATTGAGGGGCAACAGCTGCTTCTCTGGGGTCATTGCTGATGTCTTTCCATTTTGATGATGAGACAGATTTGTATGCACTGTAGTAACAACACCAACACCACCACAAACGACGACACCAAAAACAACCCATCCATCCATCCATCCATCCATCCATCCATCCATCCATCCATCCA